AAACCATCCAAAACACCATTACAGTTGTTAGCATGCTAATTACAGCACTGCTGCTAAAAATATCACAGCTAAAAATGTAAATACACTACTGTTCAAAAGTTTTGGGACTGTATGAATTTTTTAATGTTTTCAAAAGCTCTTAAGCTCACCAAAGCTGCATTTATTTGATTAAAAATACAATAAAAATAGTAACATTGTGAAATATTATTACATTTTAAAATAACTTATTTCTATTTTAATATATTCATTATGTAATTTATTCCTGTGATGGCAAAGCAGAATTTTCAGCATCATTAATCCAGTCTTCACAGTGTCACATGATCCTTTAAGAAATCATTCTAATATGCTCAAGATTTGCTGCTCAAGAATTTTCTTATTTATTCTGCTATTTAATGTTTTTGTGAAAACCGTGATTTTTTTTTTTTTAGGATTCTTTGATGAGTAGAAAGTTTAAAAGAACATCATTTATTTAAAACAAAGATGTTCTTTAACATTATAAATGTCTTTTACCACTTTTCGATCAAATTAATGCATCCTTGCTGAATGAAAGTATTCATTTCTTCAAAAAAATAATCTTACTGACCCCAAACCTCTGAACGTGTCAAACAAGCTACATTTAACGATAGAACATATCCAAGAGGATTTTATCATGAAAACAGACCAAAAGTTGTCAGCCTGCTAATTACAGCACCACCAATAAAAATATCAATTAATATATAAATATGTAGTCCTTCTTTATAAATAAATAACTTGCTAATTAACAAGTGAGTTGCTGGATGACTAGTTGAATAGCTGACTAGCATGATTCATTACCCATATCTATTTACAAGCCACTCAAGTAATTTGTCAGAGACCTACATATTAAATCCAACATCAGACAAGCATTAAGTCATTGTCTGTTATGGGCAGAGATGCACTCGACCAGCACAAACACATTTCAAAAAAACAACTGAAGCAAAGACAAATTATCATTCTATGCCATTCCCGACATAATGGCTTTTCATAAAAAAATACATTCGCTCATCTTTTGTACAATCTGAGGTAAATTATTATTCCCTAACTAAGTCTGACCTAGATAAACAACCATGTCAGGAATGTCTTCTCCTTTCCCTGATGAACACAACAACATGGCAGTAGAAATGAATTACATGGACACAAAGCGAACATTTTATTCTGAGCAATACTGCAAATCTGACATATCATAAATCCCAAACTGGCTCCACTGCCAACATCACATTTAAGAATTGGAGGTAAACAGAAATGACTGTCGTCTCATTTATCTTACATCAGGGATAAAGTAAAGTCACAATATTAGATGTATTGTAGGGTCAAAGAGCACCTTCACTGATGATGTGAACACAGCTTAGCGTTAAAAGCTAAGGACATCACATGTCACCACAATACATAGTGGTCTGTCATTTTTCTGATAAATGGCATATGACTTTTACCTTGAGTGCTAGTATACACTCCTCCTATCTCTTCTCATTGTAATATCCTTAATCCAAACTGCCATTTAACCTGAACTTATTTGGAGCAAAAATAGTGACAGTATGATTGAAAAATGTCTCAAAATAAATTTAATCCATAAACCAAAACCGAATGTAAAAAAATGCTGCACATGGCATATAAAAGCACAACAACCAACCATTTATTAGCAACACAAAAGGTCTTAATTAATATTCAAGCATATAAGCCTGTCAAAGAAAAATAATTAAATACAGAGCACGAAATGTGATGAAAATTATTCAGGTGTAAAAAAAAATGATCCCGTCCAAAAAACTGAACTGCATATAAATCAATTGGAAGCCGGATGTTTTGAAAGTCTACTTTTGATTGCTGCTTTAATATTGAAACCATGATTGGTAAACTGGTTATCCTTGAGTGGTGAATTTCTTCAAGAGGGGACATGCAATCAGATTTCAAACTGAATGTAAAAACATATGCCCCTCAATCAAGCTAATTTAGCAGGGCTGTTTGTTCGCCTTTGCTTGGCATTACTTTTGTCAGTCTCGCAGGCAACAGTTCACCGATGCTGAATGGCCAATGTTATACACTTCTATAGCAACCGGAACGATCCGTAATTCCCACTTCGGTCTTCTTAATGTTCGAATACTATCGATCTAGCCTGCATTAAACAGTAATGCACAGCAACCTGTAAATGTTCTAGAGACAAACTGAAATCCAAGGGCACCTCACTTCACAAAGCGGGAAGGAAAAAGCTTCACTCTCTTTTCCAACTGAGTACCAAAATAATTAAAAAGTGTCTGCAAAGCAATGTAAGGATGGTTAATAGTGGTAACTGTGATGTCATGACAGCTGTAACACATTCCACGCAAATTTTTAATATTACCGAGACACAGATAAACAGCAACACATAATTCTGTCATGTCACACTACATTTATTTGCATCAAAGTCCTTTTTAACAGCTCCCCATGTAAAGGCTTCACATTGAAAGACAAAAGTAGCTAGAAGAACACTCATCAAAACACTAAAAGTGATGTAAAGTGGCAAATCAGAGGTTGTTGGGAATGTAGTAAGTGGATCCAACACGCTCTCTTAAGGAAACGTCGCTCAAGAGACTTTCATCCTGCACCACTGAAACATCACTCTTAAATCACACGACATTTCAAATGACTTTAAGATGTCATTCTACCATCATATTCAGCTTGTTCAAGAGGATTAAATTACCCAAGGCTAAACTTTTAGGGTAAAAATGAAAAATGTGTCATCATGTAGTTCGAATCCTGTAATATTTTGTCTTCTGTGGGACACAAAGGAAGTCTGAGCTGTTCTTTTCCATACACTTTTTTAATGTCAGTTTTGAAAAATGACACAAGCACATTGCTTTATACAGACTTCTGAAGCCATAGTGTTTTGTGAGGAAAACCCACAAGCCCACCCCTAGTGATGCAACTAATTACTTTGATAATTGATTAATCTGTCAAGTATGTCTTCAAATAGTGAGATATAAAAATACATTTTATTTTGTTTTTTTCTATGTGAACTATGCAATACACAACCTGATCTCATGACGAAAACGTACCTGTGGGAAATTTTTCCGCAAGATGCGAAATACTTAGCGCCATGCACATTACGTTACATATTCGATGTAAAATGTCCACTGAGTGGTGCTAAAAGAGTGTTTGGGTTTTTTTCCCCGGAACAGATGAACGTACATATGGTACTTTTTATGTGACGTCGGTTTTGTACGTGTCACCGCAGTTCTGACTTGAAATTTCTGTTGAGTGGCGCTATACCTGTAACTGTAATTTAATGTACCATCTGCACTGCACGTAAACCTACCCGATAGTATGAACAAAAGCGAATGTGATGTAAAAACACAATCACAAGCATGCCATTTTAGCATGTTTTTCGATCTCTCATCTTTCAGCTCTTTCATTGAGAGTTATGTTTTTCACGGGATTCGCACCCCAGGATTCCGCATCTTAAGTCCAATTCCGTGCCGGCTGAGCTAATGAGCAAGCTTGTTACATCCGGAAAGCAAAACATATGGAGCTGTAATAATAACTGTATACAAAAGCGATTACAAGTGCTTGAGGTTTTACCGCCTCTAGTGTTAATTTCTGTTGGAAACTGCAATGATATGTACTTAAATACTTAGCGTTTTGCGAAAAAGTTCCCACAAGTACATTTTCGTCATGAGATCAGGTAGGCTATATATTATGTACATAAAAATTGCTATAAATAACACATTCTAAAACTTGTTCACAATAATAACAATAATAATAATAATAATAACTTGACTTGTCGATTATTTTGATTTTGATTAACTGTTGTTCATAAGCAGCCATTAAATAAATAAATAAACAACACATCAATTTAATGTAATTTGTTATAAAAAATAACAATAAAAGGTAACATTAAATACATCAAATGTCCATTCCACTGTACCCGATTTTCTAACCATGAAAGAAATGGAAGAGAGACCTTAGGACTCGATTTTAAAAGTTTAAAGCTGTTTTAGGCTAGTCTGAAGTCTACTCCCTCGTACTAGAGTCTAACTTGGACAGATCAAATTATTCATCTTCTGAAGTGAGTTGAGAATGTCCAGGAGCAACATTTTGCTGGTGCAGGATAAAAGACAATGACGTTTCTCCTTTGAGACCACCCTGTGTGGATCGCTGGTGGGTCCAGTAATAATTCCACTCCCCTCTGCTGGGGTACTGAGCACAGTGGTACATCAGCCTGAAATCAGTCTGTAAAACGGTCTTTCTCTGGATCTAAGTGCTTCTTTGATTGCTTACTGTTGATTAAAGCACCCAGGAAGAAATCAAGGCATCCTCTTGACTCATTGATCTTCAGCTGTCCTTGGTGAGCTCAGTGTTTAAAAGAGGTATGCTAACATCCTGCTACAATAACAACCATGCCTTACGAATATGTCAAGGGCCAATCTTGAATCTTAATTTTCTTTTGTAATTCATGTCATAACATTTCATGCATTAAAGACGCTATTTATTTTCTAATTAAAAAAACCTTCATATGTAAACAAGTGAACAGCAGTTTCATTAAAATATGAATAATAAAACTGATAAACAAAAAACCAACCATCAAAAAGACAATCAAACACCTTCAGTGTAACGCAAAAGACATCAGTAAACAAACCTCATGCATCCACACCACTAGATGTCAGTATAAAGTACAAGAACACTAGGATGAAGAAGATATTTTCCACATACACAACAATTCAAAATGTTTCTTTAGGAGCAAATTAGCATATTATAATGATTTCTGAAGGATCATGTGACACTGAAGACTAGAGTAACGATGCTGAAAATTCAGCTTTGTCATCACATTACATTACGTTATTTAAAACTGTAATAATATTTCACAATATAACAATTTTTTATCAAATAAAAACAGCCTGGGTAAGCTAAGAGAGTTAATAAATAATAAGAACCTCCTACCAACCCCAAAACTTTTAACGTTAATGTATAAAATCCTACTGTAATTATTACAGCTTATGAAGTATGCTACTCACCCAGATGTTGCCATCTTGATGGTATGGTTTCCAGTTCCTGCCTGTGTCACTGTAGAGCAGCCGGTAGCGTGTCGTCCAATCAGAGCTGCTATATCGACCCTGTGTGGCGATGGCTGTGACCTGTTTTCTGCTTCCCAGGTCGACCTGCAGCCACTGGTAATGATCACTGTCCAGTGGAGACCAGCCCCCAGCACCTAGAGAAAGTGCACAATACTCACTATCTTGCTGTATTGATCTAAAGTCTTTGTGGCTGTGTCACAAAGGGGCTAGAGAAAAACAGAACAGGAACAAATGCTGTTGGTTTGGTGTAAATGTTGTGTGTGCTTTTAAAAGTGTTTTTTTTTTAAGAGTACAAATTAAATGGGTCGTACTCTACAGGATCATCTACAAGAGTGTTGTAATTTAACAAAGATCAGCTGTAAAAGTGTCTTTTTTCAGAGAAGCATCTGTATTTTTCTATTCTCGCTTCTCTAGGAAGTCTAAGAACAGATTGTCTTACAGATGTTTTATCTGTGCTTTTAGCCGGAGGCTTTTGGGCATTTGTTAAAGGGATATTTGAAGGATCATTAAATGTCGTAAATCTAACCATTAATATTAAAGAAACGACCCCTTTTCAAGCACATCTGGCACGTAATGCTTACTTCTCACAATCCAATACAACATTTTTTCTCTTTGAATATCCTGTTTTTCTCAAAATACCCAATAAATAATGCCCCTAATAAAGTTTTATTTTATTTATTATCAAGATACCAAGAAGGCAACAGAGTCAAAGAACTAAAATTAGAGACGCAAAGTGTGAAGAAAAGTGCTTTTTTTGAGCAGAATATTCTTACTGTGCATCATTTCCAAACCAGCTGTAAATTGTTAAATTACTAAGTAAAAGTGTGGAAATATTATTTAACTGTGAATTTTTAAAACGGGCAAACTGCTAGTTGCAACATTAGCCTTATAGCAAGACAAAAGAGTAAGACATTTTATTCCAAAAGTGTTAAATTGGCATTTTCACCACAGAATGTGTTGGGAATTTAATGACTCCTATATATACTGCTAGACAGTATATATACTGCTAGACTAGTTTAATTAGCAGACAAATGAAACTAGTGAATCTACAGGAACAAAAATGCCCATAGTTTAAGAGACACCCAGATATAATCACCATGTTCAACAGTGAAGTCAGTCTTTCTATCTGTATCTGTATTGGTATGAATTGGACGTACTGTACTGCACGTAGCTTAAACTTTGAAACTTTTTAGCTTAAAATTTAGAAGTACATTCCATCCATTTAGTTCCTAGCTATCTTCACACTAAACATAATGCAGGATGGCGCTGGCCGGCGACACACTGCAGCCAGCCAAAGGGAGAGTCAGAGCGAGGACATAAAGTGAGGGTCAGCAGTTTAGGGTGTCCAGGGATCAGTACAAGACAGAAGCTTAAGAGAGTGTAAGAGAGCCAGGGGACATCCACTCCACCACCACCTGCAACTTGCAACCTGCAGCCGAGGCAGATATTCTGAGGAGATAAAGAGAGCAGAAGAAGGGCACTGGAAGGACACCAGCAGCCCAGAAAGAGGGAAATAAAACGGAGCAGAAGACAACAGCTCCAGGAGTTGTTACGGTCCAGACTAAATAAATAAAAAACACTCGATGACTCTGATAAAACAGGAGAAGATAGAACTGAAGAGATGAAAAATAAATTGCATTATGTTGGTCTAAACCCTGCCTGATGGGATATCTACGCAGCCTTATAGGTGTAGCATGTAGGACTTTGTGATGATAATGCACCTAGGCGATGATAAATCACATGGCATAATTTTTGAATAGTTTACCATTTGCTAACACGCTGACTCTAAAAGAGAAAGACTCGCAATGTGATTTCTTCTGCCCATTTTGGTGATTTGTTTTTGTATTGTGTTCAGTCACTTGACAAAGTTAATCTATTTGATCATTTCTTCAAATATAGATGTTCAAATGCAGGCATTATGTTTTCAGTATTGGTTTCTAATACAAGATGATGGAGATACAGACAGCTGTAGGCAAAGCACTGCTACAGGCAGGACAGTATCAGTGGGTGTTTGCTGCACATTAATCACAGAGAGATCTGTTTGACCTCATAATTAAAATTCTGTCATTACTGTTTCATCATTTTCATGCTTGAAGTTTTGCCTCAGTAATACATTTTCAGTCAGAGAAAAATATACATTATCAAACTTCAGCCACCAGTTAGAGATTAAAGAAATAGTTTATAAAAGATCTTCAGATTCTAAACCCGAATTACTTTCTTTACTCCATGGAACAGAAAAGGAGAATCAACATGAAAATTAAAAATTTTCATTCTTCTCATTAAAAGTCATATTTATGTACAATCAGCACAATTTTTTAAAATGTTTTTGAAAGTTGTTTCTTATGCTCATCAATGCCACATTTATTTGACCAAAAATAAAATTAAAACAGCAATATTTTGAAATATTATTACGATTTAAAATAACTATTTTCTATGGAAGCTTGTTTCCGCGACAGGATAAAAAATGATCTCAATTCAGACTTTTTCTTCACAATTCAGAACTGTTTTCAGAAATGCGAGATATAAACTTGCTGAGAAGATTCAATTCTGAGAAGAAAAGTCTGAATTGTGAGATGTAAACTCCCAATTGCAAGTCAAAATGAAGTCAGACTATTCCATGGGGAAAAATATTGTTGAGATGTAAACCTATAATTAAAATATGTATGGAAAAATGTAATCTTGGAATTGTGTTCAGTTGAGTTCATATCTTGCAATTCTGACTTTTTTTATCAGAGTTCCAAGTTTATATTTCACAATTCTGAATTTATATCTCACAATTCAGACTTTTTTCTCAGAAAAACAATCCGAATTGAGAGATAAAAAGTCGCAATTACCTTTTTATATTCTGTGGTGGAAATGGGATTATGTAGTTTTCCATTTTAATTTCAAATGTACTGTAATTTATTCCTGTGATAGAAAAGCTGAGTTTTCAGCATTTTTATGATTTATTGATGAATAGAATAGTTCAAAAAGAAAAGCATTTATTTAGAAACAGAAATATTTTGTAACATTAAAAATGGCTTTGCAGTTACCTTTGATCAGTGTGTCCTTACTCAATAATACAATTTATAGTAGCTTATATAAAGCACTCCAATGTTGGATATTATCATATGTATATGTTACTATAGATTAACATTTTTTTACAGTGTATATATAATGTATAAAATGAAGAAAAATATTTAATTCAATTTTGTAAGAATGCAAAAGGAGAAAGAACTAAAGAAAGAGAAAGGGAAATAAAGGACATGGATCACTGCTCACATTCCTTATATTAGCCCCTCAATCTCATGCATGGACACATTGGTATTCAGCTGAGCTTGGGAGACATGACTGAACGCTGGGGGACTGAACCTTCCTTCCCCTCTGTCATTCACCTCAGTTTGAGATAAAAAGTCGCAATTACCTTTTTATATTCTGTGGTGGAAATGGGATTATGTAGTTTTCCATTTTAATTTCAAATGTACTGTAATTTATTCCTGTGATAGAAAAGCTGAGTTTTCAGCATTTTTATGATTTATTGATGAATAGAATAGTTCAAAAAGAAAAGCATTTATTTAGAAACAGAAATATTTTGTAACATTAAAAATGGCTTTGCAGTTACCTTTGATCAGTGTGTCCTTACTCAATAATACAATTTATAGTAGCTTATATAAAGCACTCCAATGTTGGATATTATCATATGTATATGTTACTATAGATTAACATTTTTTTACAGTGTATATATAATGTATAAAATGAAGAAAAATATTTAATTCAATTTTGTAAGAATGCAAAAGGAGAAAGAACTAAAGAAAGAGAAAGGGAAATAAAGGACATGGATCACTGCTCACATTCCTTATATTAGCCCCTCAATCTCATGCATGGACACATTGGTATTCAGCTGAGCTTGGGAGACATGACTGAACGCTGGGGGACTGAACCTTCCTTCCCCTCTGTCATTCACCTCAGTTTTCCCACCTCTCCCTCTCATTAGTTTCCAACAGGCTATTTTGTTTCCCACATAGCAGCCAGAACAGCCGTCTGTCCCTTCCCATCTCTGTCTGTGAGGGCCAAACAGGTTTCTGATGAAGCGAGATTTGACCTTTCCCTCAGATTCATCTCACAGATGAACTGCTGCTAAATAGATGCCCCTCCTGCCAGATTAGAGCGGAGGAAGCCTAAGCAAGTCTCAAATCTGATGTCTGGATTTGAGGTGATGCCAAGGGCGGACCGCGAAATGGCTGTGTGCATCTCACACACCAGAGTGGCGTGATTACTGCTGACCTTCAACAGGCCATTTGCTGATGTAAATCCATATGAAAAATATGACGTGATGGATGTGTTTCATATAGTGTCAAGGTCTTTAGGAGTCAGAAATGCATATTACAGTTTTTCTCAGTCGCTTTGGTGCATTTCTCAAGTTCCAGCAAACAGTTGTGACATTTGCACTCACAGTTTAGAGAATGTTAAGATTGTTTCGAAAAATGTACCAAAGCAATTGAGAAAAACTGTAACAAAGTGCACTGTTATATTAACATGACTAAGCATTTTGACTATCTTATTTGTGAACAATGGCACAAGTACTTTTCATTCTGATGGCACTGATATGTTCATTGACATAAATACTTACTTTTGAGAGATAAACTAAAGATTTTGAGTAAGTTACAGGCTTTTGCAGGTAATCCATTGTGTGGTGCTGTTTGTACGAATTGTTTTGAGAAATGCACATACATTTGTGCAAATATTAAGGATGATTCGAGAAATGCACCAAAGCGACTGAGAAAAACTGTAAACTACTAGGCTTTTAAAAAAGATATAACAGCAAGAACACATAGCCGGAGATTTAACCTTTGCTCCTGAAGAGGGGGAAATGGGGTCATACAGGCCCACTGCTATACTATACTGAATACAGAGTGGCAGAAACAATATACTAAACTAGTACAAGCCCAAATTCTGTTGAACTTGGGTGCATCATCTGTGTATAACTATTACTCATATATTTATAATAATTTATTATTATTATATTTTTGAGGTGTTGAGTTTCTGCATACAGCCTCTGTTGAAATTATTTAATGTTACTTTTTTTATGTTTTTATTATAACATCTTATTCACTCTCACTTTTTTATAGTTCTGGGTCACTTTTTGCTTTGTATA